ACGGAGTGATACCATCTCCGCGAGCTGGGTTTTGGTCGGCTTTTCAGGGGTCAGAAGCGTCACCCATCACAACGTCCCCAAACGTGTTGGTCAAACATCGCAATTTTCATGACATGATGTTTTTCCCCAAACAGTGTGTCCACACTGAGGGGTTCTTATAAGTGTAAAAGCCCGGGTTTGATTCAGGGTACGCTCTTTGGGCCCGTGCGTTTGGGCTGCGCAGGCTCGCAGAAAAGTTTTGTTCTGAGATCTCCAAATGCAATTTCTTTGCGCAGGGTTGTGCGAAACGCTGGCCCGGGGCGGTGCTTGACGGAGGTGCGCTCTCGTTGTTGTGCCGTGCGCATTTTTCGAAGGCGCAATGGCAGGCACAGTACTTTGTGGACCTTGAAGTTCAAATTCATGGCAGATGCAGTACTTTGTGGACCTTTCTCAACTTGCGAGCGAGCCCCCATCCACCACCATCACCACCCACCACCATCACCACCACTCACCATCACCATCACCATCACCATCACCACTATCTCCACCTTCATCACCACCATCACCTCTCTTGACCCGATCTCTAGACTTTCTGCTGCGCGCCTCTGGACCTCAAACACACTGTTTGGGGTCTCTTGCCGGGACATTTTTTTAATACATCAGCCTTAGGAAATTAATCCAAGGTAGCTCTGGGTAGATGACCCCTTCAAGGTTGAACATAGTGGACCCATCCTACCTGATGGATGTGGCTCAGATGATCGAAGTTTGGGCTAGCAGCTAGTTTTTCTGGGACTTCAACAACGTGGGGGCCTCGGCCATATGTGCCATACCTAGATCTTGAGTCCGGCACTTTTACAGGGTCCGGCGCCGGACTTCCAACTCCAGCGTTTTTTTTCTGGATTTGGTCCAGCAGTTTTTCCAAGTCACTTTATGTGGATTCTCAAGGCTTTGCATTCTTTGTGGTCCGCATTTCTTTGAAGGTAAATCCACTACTGACGCAATGATTTTGCTTGCAAAGTGTGCTCGTTCCACCAGCTTCAGCATGGTTCACGCTGGATCAATCAGAATCAGATCCGTTTAGGTGATCTTCCAAATGAAATCGGATGAAATCGATACAGTGCATCGCCGCGATGCACGTCTTGAAAGACCCAAGTGGGTGTACCTAAGCTTAGAGAACTTCGGCGAAAATGTATACTCCCATTGTTTCAGGATGTTGGGGCGCTGGGATATATAGTTCTAGCCGTGCAGGTTTGCAGAGCCTGCCGGACAAGTTTTGGGCTGTGGAACATGTGTTGTTCAGAATCTCAATGTTTTGCAGAGAGTTGCAAAAAAATGCGCGTCGTAACTCCGGCGTAATTTCCCATAATTCCGGCGTAACTTCCCGTATTGTGTAATTTTTGGATTCAGTCTTCTGAAGGTCTTGACTTTAAGGGTTTTAAGTTTTGACTGGAGCCATGAGTTCTGCTACTTTATTGGCGGGCCGTCCTGAGGCAAGCTAAAAAAACATTAGAAGTCATAAGAATCACCCACTGTGTAAAACAACTTTAGAGACACGGTTGCAGAGAAAGAAGGGTCCCTTGCCATATACTCCTCAGTTTTTTCTTGGAAATCTTTGCTTGGGCACAAGTTGGCTCATATTTTGTGATGGTTCTGCTCTTAGGACATTCGGAGGATGGGCGAGGGCAATGGGAACGGAAGGCTCCAGTGTGGGGTTGTGGAATAAAACAAATGTGTTCCAGAAGAACTAGTTGTGGCGCAAAGGCAGTTTGCTTGTGTATGTTCCAACCTTCATCTCTGTTGTTCAGAATCTTGGATCCGGATGTTTTTTCAGGTCCCCGACGTTTTTTTGGGGAATCCGGCGGAATATTTTGCCCGATTGAGGTCCGGCACTTTTTCCGCCCAAAGGAAGATCCAGGTATATGTGCCCTGCACATGATATGTGTATTTTTTTATTAGGTTAGTTTTTCCAATACTGTAAGAATAAGGATGAAATGGTCCGGACAGCATCCCCTATATCAACAACATGTCCACAATGTGTGATGTTCCAGCCATTCTCCCGCAGTCAAACGGAAGTTCCATGCTGCGCGCGCTGCGATGTTGCTCTGGAGGAAACCGTTCATTTCGAGCAGCGCCTTGTCTCGGAAGTCGAGGGCAGATTGCAGTTGATGCACGATGTGGTTGACACAAAGAGCTGTTGCTGTCGCTTCTGGTGCATGTTTTGTTCGTCCATGCACGCTCCACCAGCGCTCACCGCTGGTGGGAGGAGGGGTGGGTGGGAACATCGAAGACCTGTCATGCAATTCCATGTCTCGTCACTGCGGCAAACAAAAACAAAACATCGGCTTGAGCCACTTGAGCGCTTTTGAGAGGTAGCCAAAGAATACGAGAACATGCTCCACACATGCACCATCGTCGGAACACCATGGACACAAGGCCAAAACTGAAACTTTGAACAGCGAAATGTCGTTGGCCACGAAAGGAACGGCGAACCTTTTCATGTCTCACACCCCAGTCCCAAGGCTTATATGACATGCTCAATAGTTTTTCCTGCTGATGTCTGATGTCATTGCAATGTCTCGGATTCGAACCCTTCCTCGCCCTAATTAAGTTTAAGGCTCATGTGCCTACGTGCTGTACAAGTGGCTGCGGAACGCGGCACCTTTCCCTTCTTGAAGAAGGTTCGCGGCCACATATTTCTCGAAAATCCGGCGTCCTGAACTTGGTTCTTGCAATGTTGTGGATAGTGTTGTGGATATAGACTGTCAGACCACAGTGAAGAAGAACTTCAATTGGATGCAATGGGTCGAGCACACTGTGAGCATTCTACCCGCCCCCCGACGCAACCACCCGTCGGAGGCTTCAGAGCGCTTGCAGCTTGGTCGCACCGAAGCTGAATTCGAAAACGACTCGACCGACTCATAACGTGAGGCTCTACTATTTGAATCTGCAAGCAACTCGGAGGAGTGGCTTCGCAGCAAGATTTGGAGTCTTTGGCCAGTGCTGAAGAGCTGACTATGCTATTGAAGACGAGCCAAAAAAGATCATTTCTTAGAAGGCGGACATCCAACGTCATGGGAATGTTGCTCTCATATATTGATTGTTCCGTACCTACATATTATACACACAATATTTCTGATAATATATATAACTGATATCATATAGAAGTACGTGCACTGAAAAGTGGGGCAGTGCCCCCAAGAACCACGTAGGACCCCCCAAAGGTTTTGACCCCGCCGGATCACTTATGCTGCTGCTGAGATGCTGCTATGTTTGTTATCATTACTGCTGCTAGTAAGACTACTACTTCTACTTTGACTTCTACTTCTACTTTTGCCACTATTGCCGCTACTATTATTACTGCTACTATTACTACTGGCATTTTACTGCTACTGCTGCTGCTTGCTTCTACCACCACGACGACTACTACTACTACTCCTCCTCCTGCTGCTGCTGCTGCTGCTACTACTACTACTACTACTACTACTACGATACTGCTACCTTCGCCAATTATTTTTCCTCTTCTACCAATGCTGCCACTCTACACTGCAACTACTCCCGCAACAGCTGTTGATGTAGTTCCGACAACGACTACTTTCGATACGATTCAATCCGTATTGCTGCTGCTGACTACTGCTATTCTTCCATTGCTACTGCTCTTGACTGGAGGCTCTATACGCAGTAGACTACAAGAGATGTATTTCAACAAAGAATCACACAACCATCGCCAAACTTGCTTTTGGATGCGGATGCTCAAACCTGTTCGGTTGGAGAACTATATCAGGCCCAGACCAAAGGGATTTCTTCGCAGCTCTCAGAAGAATCGCTGTCTTCCTATTGGCAGAAAGGTCATTTTTGCCGAAAACAGTTGATTTCCACTTCAGGATGAGAAGAGCCACAGAGAGACAGTCTCCTCCTGTCGTATCTTCATGTTCACGAGTTTCGACTGTCAACGAACAATCCTTTTTGCGGCGAATGGGCCACTCGAGGCACTCCGCCCGGTGAATGGGCCACACGGGACGGAGATCCTTTGCCGACAGACGTGGCATATCTCTTGGTTTCAGGCGGGACCCTGGGGATGCCGAGCGGGGCCAAGAGGAGTAGCAAGGCCAAGAGGGGCTGAGGCGCGGGATGAGCGCGATGGAGCAGAACCCCCCATGGGTTCCTCTGGATTTGATGGCGAAATGTCTAGAGTTCTGGAGAGCCTACATAGCAACCTGCAGTCAAGCTTCCCACAATTAGTTGGCGATGCTTGGAGATTCCTACTATTCCACTTGCCATGAATACAGTCAGTACAGTATTATATTGTCATTTGTCATTTGTTTACACTTGAAGTTCTTTCGGTTGTAGGACGTTCTAGGACATATTTCCACTGAAACCATTTGAATTGAACCCATCACTTCCTTGGCTCTTTCTGCTGTACTTTGACCTCTTCCCTTCCATCTTGGCAAAACCTGCACCACTGGGCACCAAAGAGCGACGGACCCTGCTGTTTGCGCAGGCGAAGCCTATGTGACTGAAGAGAGCGGGCATCGGATTCTGATGTCCAAAGGAAGCTGTTTCGGCCCCCAGGCGGCACGAAGCAGTGGCAAGTTGCACCAAGTTGCAGAGATGCACATATCGGTTCCAGAGCACAGCAAGTGTTAGTTCCAGATCGGTTTGTAACGCATCTCAATTTTGTAGTTCGTGAGAGTCATTTCTGAAAGAATTTCCTCCTCTAGAGTCATCACTCCTCACTCGTTCGTGCCAGATGCCCACTATGGAAACCAAGGTGAGCATGTTCTGATCGGCATTAGATCGAGGATCTCATCCATCGAACCAAAGACAGCCTGTGAAGTGCAGATGGTGAGCCGTAGCGTTTTTGACCCTCAGCAGCTGTTAAGGTTTCGGGATGGATATCTTGGCCCCACAGGTCCTTGAAAAATGAGCCACAGGTCGTGCGGTATCTCTGGAGGAGATGCCAGGAGTTGCTTTCAAGCAGGGGTCGTTTGCCACCGGTCGAGCCGAAGTCACCGGCCGTTGAGGAAAAGGTCATGTCCGAGTGCCCCGACGAGCGCGCTGAAACGGAGCAGGGCATCCTGGAAGAAATGTCTATCAAGGCACAGCAAGAGCTTGGAGTGGAGCGAGGCGCCCGAGCTCGGAGCCCGAGCGCGGCCGATTCTCAGGATCGGATCGGATCTGGCCCCGGGGGGCCAAGTTGAGGATGTCATGGATCATCCAATGTTTGGACATGTTTTTAATTGTCAATTGACAAATTGATATTCAATGATATTCAATTATAATCAAATTATAGTGAAACATATTATAATATATTGTTTAATGTGCTTCTGATGGGATGGGGTTTCCTCATTTTTGACTGGTCGTTCTTGTGGGAGGCTGTTCTCCCATGTCCTCTCCAGTTTGGGACACCCCTGCGCAGGACCAGGACACAAGACTGGACCCAGTTTGTGCATTTGAATCCTATCACCCATGGAGAAAACATGAAAACACCCACCCAAACGGTGGAGCTAATAAATTAACAAATTCAATACGACCTTTGAGATCCTTTGAGACAGACTACTAACTTGCACGACTTTATATCACCATAATATATCACCTTAAATCACTTTGCTAAGCCACTTGAGCGGATTCTTCCCTCTGTTTGGCACGGGGCGGGCTGATGCCGGGAGCGGCCGGGAGCGTCCGTCGCAGGTTCTCCGGAGATTCTGAACCGCTGTGCCTTTTTTCGAGCGGCCCATGAGAAGTTCATGACGCTCATGCGAGCCTCGACACGCAGTTCCGTTTGGTGAAACCGGGAGTGAAGTAGGCCTCGGAGGACCGAACGTCCGAGCCTTCGGTCCAAGAGGACGAAACCAGTCCGAAGATCCGAAAGACCCCGTGGGGACGGTACATTCCCCAATCGTCTGACAGATGATCCGATGGGAGAATCACTCGTCCGAATGACACCTCCATCGTGACGTGGGTCTTTCAGATGGTGTTTTTCTTCGAACAGTCCACAGCGCCGCCAGAACAGCTTCACCCCGCGCCTCCTTCGCTCCTCTTTCGGTTTCATCACCGTGTCCCTCACCGCTGGGTGACGCAGGTCCTCGGATGCGCGCGATGCTCTTCAAGGCGACCAACGCGAGCGTCGACGGGTCGGCCATGTCGTTGTTCGGCGGGTCGGTGAGGCGGGCCGTTCGGTGAACGACCAGGTGAACGACCGAGGATCCCACACGGTGCGACACGGTGCGTGGATGTGCGCGGCCTCATCACGGACTGCCAGGTTGGCGAGTATATTACCCGGGAACGAGACTATGCAGATCACATGTTCATCGTGTTGAGGCCTGGCGGGAAGAGGGCTGGTGCCATCTTTGAACTTTGCGCGTAGCTGACGTAGTATAAGTATAAAATAACGTATAATAATCCATAAAATTTAAATGATCCACAATAATAAGCCCATTGTGTACTCGATATTCGTGATAATGTCGACATAGGATTAATCAACCCCCCCTTCAAGGTCAACAAGGTTTGGGATTGGAGGGATTGGAGACCACATCCCCTTAATAAAGATGATGACCTGATGATGGATGATGAGATGATGACAAGATTGGGAAAGATTGGGATTGGGATGATTGGGATGATTAGGAAAGAGATGAAAGGGATTGCAAGACAAGATTCTTTCTTTGATTGGGATGATTAGGAAAAGAAGAGGATTGCAGGATGAAAGAGATGGAACACAAGATTGAGGCCAGAGGGTGGGCTTGATTAATAGGGGGAGGGGTCCCTACTATTAGGGGGTGGTAGGGCCTGTGTGAGGGGTACCCTTTGTGAGCTTGAACACCTCAAGACTTTGATAGAGTTTTAATAAGGGACAATAATAGAATTTTGCTAGCATTTCTTGGTTTCGAACAGGGAAGGATGAGAAGAAAAAGCAGGATGAGAAGCAGAAGGAGGATGATAATGAAAGACAATGATGGATGAGAATGAAGATCAATTTCACCATGGATGATTGATGGACGACAGGATCAGCATGGGAAAAGGGTGGATCACAAGGGTGAATTGGAAGATCAGTTTCACCATGGACCAAAAGATATTGAATACTAAAAAAAATAACTAAATATAAAGCCAACTATATATGTTGTTGTTTTTTTCTGGGGGAGCTGCGCTTGATTAATAGCGGGGGTTCCTTAATCCTATGTCGCATTATTTCATGATGTGTGTTTCAGTACACCAGTGGTGGTGATTGTTTGGCGCGTTCCCCTTCGAAAGCCTTCTGAAGGCTGCCATGCCCGGCCGGCCGCCGAAACAACAGAGCTTTCTCGTTGGGGTCAGTGAGTCCGCTGGCATGGGGAATTGATAAGGTCCAAGAGTTCCCAAAAGAAATACTGTACAGATCCACGAGGTTGGTTGTAGAAACTGTTGGTCCTAGAAACCCTGAAATGATTTGTTGGGGAAATGTGATGTTCTCCCAAAAATCTCCTGAGGATGGTGATTTGCTCATCGGCCAGGAGAATTCTTTGCTCATCGGCCCATGCAGGAAAATGAAACAAAAGCCCCGTTGTTGGAAATGCAATGGGTTTCCGGATGTGACCTTAAACATCCTTATATAAATCTTTCCCTGTATATCATGTTATAAAGTTACAGTATAGCGTGACATTACTGTGACTACTATATGCAATATATACTATATATTATATTATTATACATATACAGTATATATATATATCATGTAATATTTAGCATAAACTGATATAGACTGAAAGCATGGCTCAAACCATCAATGACACACTCGTCTTCAACCAGAGAAGTGTACCACCAGCTATGCAAGCCGCCAAGCCGCGAAAAGCCAACGGACCAGCCATCACGAGGGGAAGTGCCGCGGTCATGGGTGACGACGCGGAGACGCCGGTGCTGCGCTTCGAAGCAGGAGCGTGAGATGTGAAACGCGTCGGAGGGGACAGAAAGATGCGGTGAAAGTGAAAGGGAAGGGTTTGGAATTACATGGACATCTGGAGATATTTGGAGTTTTGGGGAAGTGAGGGGCTGAGGAAGATCAGGGATCCATGATCATATGATAATCTATACGACATGTTGGTGGAGAATCCGCTACAGACACCAAAGGTTCGGCTCCAGACCCCAAAATCGGCCGATCAGTGGAGAAGCAGCGCTGGATGGCTGGCGTTTGGCTCACGAGGCACATCTAGACTCAAGACTCTAGACTGGGATTTTGGACATCTAGGGCCACCACGGCCGCACTCCTCAAAGACGGAAGAGCAATGGGACTCCTCAAGTGAACCACCAAATCCAACTGCCGGCAGCCAATTGGCAGCCAATTGATGTGTATTTTGTCATCTGGCCAATGGGTTTGCAGGAGCTGCGATCTCTGAAGCTTCGCTCCTGGGGACCTGCACCTTCTATCCCTATGCCGTGCCTGGCAGATCAGCCTGGACGAAAGCAAACGAAATGAGTTTCATGCGCTCTTTATGAAGAAATGGGCTGGCCCTTTTGCAGCCCAACCCAGACACTCCATGTATAGAATATTTACCTATACATATATATATATACCCTCTATAGAGGTCAAAAGACTATACTTTTCCATACAGTGAAGTAAAGGACATTCCCTTTCACGCACCCTAAAGACCATTCTTTTGACTCATGACCATTCTCTTTGTAGTCTTTGACTCCCAGGGTATACACATTGATTGACCTTTAAACATCTCAAGACATCTTAAACGCACCCAAATGTAGATGAATGTTCGATACACGGATTGTTCGGGCAACGAATGAAAAACCAACGTGATTCTCTTGGATGTGTGTTTGGGCGGAGCTGAGCCCAATGCATCTTGGAACCCAACAAGATGTTCTTTGGAAAACCAACCAGGGCGGTGGACTCTGGGGATTGGAACGACCGGTTACTGGAGGACGCCAGGTCGGATGCTGAGGTGAGCCACCTGGAAAACTGAAACCTGGAAAGCCCAAGCACCCCAAAGCTGTGCCTCAAAGCGTTCTTTCAAACCCACAGCTGTTTGGGAGAATGCTCTAGGCAAGGCGCCACCGGGTCAGTTCACCCTAGTTCACCCCGGAAGACAAGGACAGGTTGACCACTCAGTCGGTTCAACAATTCACTACCTTTTTAGCCAGAGAATCTTTCAAGGTGCGAGTTGAGAACTTGTGCTTGGTGCTGTCTTTGCCGCGCAACGACTTCAATGTGTCTGCCTCAGACCCTCTTTTTCCGCGCGCGAGCGTAACATAGTAGAAATACCTGGACCTAGACCTAGACATTAAATGAAACTAATATATACTACCGCTGTATATATATATATACAGTATATACAATATTTTATGGACCCAATTCGAGTATGGAGCCACTGGGAGAACGGACAAATCAGACATTGAATTTAGACGTGAAATTGGTCCGCGGGGCGTTCCCAATCTGGATTCACTCCCATATATATATATATATATATGTGTAGCTGTTTTATGCTGCTGTTTGCTGTTTTGATGTTTTGTTCAGTGCATGAACGAGATGCACTACACAGGGGTGTGAAGAATCCTGTGCCAGGAGGTTCTTGACCAGTTCCCGGACGAGAGGGAGTTGCTCCTTGCCAGCCAAGGTGTGCCAACCTGGCTCGCTGCTCCACTCCTGTAGCAGCGGATAGGGACTGAGAAGCTATGCTATCAGTTTTCCTTCCCCAGCAAGTCAGCAGCAAGTATCATCTTTGTCATGGCTGGGCAAATCTGGACATCATCCGGTGCCTTCGTTTGATGGTTCCCTGACAGTCACAACTTGTTTGGAACAGGACCACCAAACCACACCAAACAGGACCACTGAGATTTGTCACCCAAACCACCCAGGTCCACCCGCGGACCGCACCGCGGACCCGGTTCGATTCCGTCCGGTGGTGTCGGGTGTCCGCTCGCATGGACCCAGGTTCAATCGGCTCTTGGCAGATCAAGAGGAGACCGAACGCAGCGACCCCGAAGGGCGGGCGTGTTGCTTAGTATATGGCCTGTTTGGGTCGAAAACGAGAGATGCACTTGGCCTCCCTTTTTTGGGGGAGGTCCAAAGAGAAGGGTCCATTGGAATCTACACCTGATCGTTTGTAAGAGGTTAACAAATAGCCAGCAAAACGAGTGCTTCTCAGAATCTCCAGGCGTCTCCCGTGTTTGGGCGGAACTTGCTTCGCTGGATCGTCTTGCACGTTAAGAATCCGGAAGGCTCCAACCCACACACGTTCCGAAAAGAAGGTGTCACAAAGAAAACGACAACAACGACACACGGTTGATGTGTTCTCGTGAGGATATTCTTCGAAGACTTCCAAAAGTTTTGAAGCTTCACCATCCCTTGTTCTCTTCTTCCAGTGGGGGATCTCAGCGTGAACTCGTTCGGCGAACCATCGCAGCGCCGCTCGCGCCGCGCTTTGGTGGGCCGGACCCTGCGGCACGAAGGGTGAAGGGGTAGCAAGAGGATGCAAGAGGTAGAGTCAAGCAAGATCAAAGTAAGGTCAAGTGAGAGAATCTAAAGCTTTCGAGCTACAGTTTCATGTTGCGGGTACCCCTTTCTTGGGGCTTTTGGAGCCATACCAGCCATACATACCGCCTTTTAATCCTTTTTCAATCAGCTGTTTCATCCTGAGCAGCTGCAGAAACTGAAAGGTGTGTATGAAACGTGAACTGACTTCAATGCTTTCGTCAAAAGAACAAGAAAACAGTGAACTCCCCAAGTCCCAGGCGCGCAGACACTTGGCTTGCGATCGCCCATCCATGGTCCACCGGAGTCCACCGGTACTTCCGAGGCATCGATTTCTTGAAGGCCGTTTGCGAGTTCGCAGACGAGGTGCGAGTGAATGCGAGTGAAGCTTGGTGTTCGGGGATTCCAAGTCCGGAGGATGTCGAGGTTGATCGAGTTATGCATGTGCGTGTGTAACTCAGGCCATAGGCCATGAATAGATAGAAATTGCATGGAACTATAAATCCTCTCCAATAAGGAGCCTCTGGGAAGCGGTTACAGTCGTTTCTATCGCAAAACCAAAACATGAAAAAACATATATAATGAAAATACTATTGCGCTTGCGCGGAAGGTGTACTATGCGGCCGGTGAATGCATCATCACCTGTGGCGAGAGTTGCAGCGTGGGGGAAACCGTCATGTGGCCTTGGCTCCAGATTAACGTATGAGCAGTGCATGCCACCCCCCGGAATGGCGACCAGTGGGGAGGTTTAACCCTCCAGTCTTTCCGAAGTCTTCAACCGGGGCCGTGTTTCTGCTGTACACCAGATCGGACATGTCCAAAGTGACCCGTTACCAGCATGTTTCTGCTGAAGATTGGACATGATGGGTGAACCTTGATTTCCCGCAGAAGCATGACAACTCATGACGAACGCGTGACTCGTGAGATCTCGTGAGTGCTTCACGAAAGACGAACAACGTGTTTAAATATGTTTAAATGTTTTCCAGAGCTTCTTTCACCAGACGTCGAAAACACTTTGTGACACCTCCATTCGGTTCACTGTTCCACTGTCGCACCGCCGTGATTGACCTGTGGTGATTGACCGCTGACCGCGACAGTGAGGTACTTGCTGGTGGCCGGCAATGCCGCAGTCATCTTGGCTCACGGGGAGGAAGTGGCCCAGATCAAGTCAGGTGTGGCACTGTGCTTGTATGTGCACAGTCAGGAGCGCAAACCACCTGGATAAGGAGTATGAGTAGGAGTATGATCTTCCAAAGCCCACTTGTGGGTTCCTGAAGATGTTCCCTTTAAAAAAGTGTACCAAACATCAGATCCACATAGATCCACTCTTGGAGGCTTTTTGGGTACACGTGGCGTGCCAGGTTCGCTGGTCGGGGAAGGCGGTGCACTTGGAATCGCCAATAAGCGATCGACACAAGTGAGTGCCTGGAAGGCTGGGCTCGGACAGCTGAAGAGTTCGTGACAGCTGAAGATGTCCGGGTCGGACGGGCGCACAGTGCCCAAGGCTGGCTGGATGGAATCCACCAGCAAGCCAGTCTCTTCAGTTTCAAAATATCAATTGATTGTTGAGCTATATAAAGTGATGTACAATTGTAAAGTTGTATTTGTGTGGGGTGTGTGACCGAAAAGGGGACGAGTAACAAATCACCAGAACGCAAACACCCCTAAAACGTCTGGCTTTTGTCTTGTCAACGCCTTTGCGACATCCTGTGCTAACTTCCGGAGATCGATTTCTATTTATGTCAGGATTTCTAGGGTAGCTAATATGGATTCTGTAGAGAATGCGATTGAGGGAAGGTATCCCACACCAGCTAGCAGCACTGGTATGCCACAAAATATTCCACAAATACCAGAATTTAGGATGTTCTAGAGGAGCGGATTTCTTTCATCGGTACTTACCAGCTTGCTGTGCGGCCAGGGTGGAATGGTCAGGCTCATCCGATTGCAAGGACAGTCGATTGGGAAGGCGTCTCGGAAATGGTTGAGTTCAGCATGAATCACTGCAGAACATGTCTTACCAAACGCGCACATTTGCTGACTCGTTAAAAAAACAAGTTTGACGCTGTTAATCTCCTATATAACTCGTTTGGTCATTACACTGAATCCATGCATTGAAATGGTTGGGTCTATTGCAGCTGCTCATGGATCAGTGGAATACACGGTTGAGAATGCTGTCAATGCCTCATGTCCTTTCTGAGTTCAGCTGAGGCTGTTGAAGAGCACCCCGAGGACTGCCAGGCCTTGGAGAACCAATTCATGATGCGTGCCATGGCAGCGAAGCAGCTGCGAAGGGAAGCCACAAGAGACCACCTACGAAAATCTGTATCTAAGATTGCGTGTCAGAAAAAGACTTTAAACAAAACATGACCCATCATGACCCACAGGCAGTGGTCATGATGGACGAACACGACTTGGCAGTGTTGGGAGGTCCCAAAAGGAGGTCCACCTGACCAGGTCGACCTGGCCAGGTCGTGGGAGCCCGTTGCGGGTAAACTTTGGTTTCTTCACGGTTTACACATGATGGCCTGGTCATCCGAGTCGTGATGGCCTGATGTCAGGTGGTCTAGACGGACGAAAGGCATGTATGGCATACACAGCCCGAAAGCTGCTTTAGGGGTGGGGAAGAGTGGCAGTTGTTGATTTATGTTGAACATGATTGAACCTACTGTCACTTCCTGGATATGTCTGATTCCAGAGACTGCATGAAAGGTGCTGACTTTGGACAAGTGTGTCACCCAACAAAGGCAGTGTGACATACAGATTACACAATTACATAATATTAATATGGCCTAAAGCGGATGGATTCACTTGAAACAATGGTCTCAGACACTTCACCGACACCCTGGAGAGGGAGCTTCCCGTACCACGCAGGCCAGAAAGGCGTAACAGCAGACACCAAGCAGCTGTAGTGTTGAAAACCATCATCCTGTCAGCCAGAAAACCACGACACAAAAACTCTCCAACATTAAAAGAACAAATATGAACACTTTAAAGAATCAAAAAGGCGACATATGAACTTACAGTAATCATCGTCCACCCCGCTGGATCCTCCCATCTACTCCCCACCCCTTCAACCCCTCAAATCTCGCAATGTTGGGAGGCGCAGGGCTGCAAAAATGTAAAGGACATGTCAAAGCATCAAAGTGTATAGGAGGGGATGATGAGAGTATGGTGACATGTGATGTCTTGGATATCTTGTGAATTGCTAGGCCGCTAGGCTAGGTTGTGATGCGTTACTGTAATGATTCCCAATGCGGTGATGGTAGTGATGTCGACAAGTGTAGTCTGGTCTTTTGTGGTGGAGGGGGGATGTGGTGAAGTGTAAATGCGATGTGTAGCTATTTGGGAGATTAGGATGTGGGATGTGGTTTGATGTGCATGGTGAGATTTGATGTGGTCAAGTGTTCTGTGGTACTAGTGAGTGGTTTTTTCAACTTTTCTGTAGAAACTCTACTGTTCTGTACTTGCTGAAGACACCACGACTCTTTTGTACTGTTTTCTGAAATTGTCTCTACCTGTTTGATCCTGTTTGTACATTTCTCTAGAAACCCTCGACTTAAACGCCTTTTTTGTGCAGAGACCTACACTCCCTGAACCGCTGGTTACGTGGATGGTTACACTCCCCGAGTTCGGAAAATCCGAAATCGGGAAAACAAAAACAGGTGGTTTCAGTCACTCCACGGACCCATCGGAGTGTATCTCTGGACCGTGCGTCGGCCTTTTCAGACGATGGACAGCACGACGTGCGTCGTTGGTCAGATGTGACACGATGGACAGAACAACCAGTGACCTCCCAACTGGCTCAACTGTGATCATTCGAGGTTCCCAGAAGAACGCAGAAGCAGAGGCGATCCGAAAAGTATGGATTGGAAAATCTGTCATACCTTTGCTGAATCTTGCCTCAATTGAGTCGCCAGATTGCTAAGAGTGACCAGAAGGAGACACTGATGAATCAAAGATTTTGCTGCCAAAAGAACACCATTGATGTCTTTTTGTGTAAGTGCCTTTGGACTGGAGCTTAGCAGAGAAGGAACAATGATCCACGACATCCCTCAACAAGCCCTCCTACAAAAAGACACCAGCCATCCCATCATCCCGTCGCCCTTTTTGTCCCTACACCGTTTTCGAAGAATCCAAAAACGCAGCATTCACTCAGGAAGAATTGCCACATCTTCCAGGGCTTCAGCGACTCGGAGGAGCTCATTGCGAAGATCGCGGCTCCGCTGCTGAAGATGTCGTTCCCTGGCCGCGTTTTCGAACCGCGTTTGTCGATTGTCGAACGGACGTCGGGGACGTCGATGGCGTTCGTTCTGTTCGCGTCACAGTATTGGGTGGATAGTGGTAGATTTAGAGTGATAGGTGAAACATGGTGAAACACAGCCAGAGCTTCGTCCACCTCCAACGCCTGCGGAGCTTTCCGGCCTTTGGAGAGTCCATTGCGCACCGACCCGGACGAACCGACCCGGTCGACCGAGGTTTGCCGAAGGAACGGAGCTCTGCGTGGCGGGCGATGCCGCGGACTCCATGCGACTCGGAGCGAGGTCCGCTCGCGCGGAAGACGCGGTCGGTCCGTCGGTGCCGGAGGATGGAGGATGGATGGGGGGATGGTCCTCTTTGTTCGGAGATAGGAGCCCCCAAATAAACGAGATACTTTTGTTTGACACTAAAGTAATTAGTTCAAACGAGATACTGTGATTTGCTACTAAAGTAGTCTGAACGAGATACTGTGACATGACCTCCTACTTATATATAGTAGTCTAAACGAGATAGGGCCCCCCACAAATTAGATACAGTAGTGTTTTTGAGTTTAGTACAAAATAGATGCTGCTGCACATATAGATGTCTCTAGATAGTGTACACATGCACGTACTTTGCTACATGAACGTCCCAGGGGCTGAGCAGAACACGGCAAAGCTGAGGATAGTGATCATTGATGGCGAAGTTGAAGCCAAGTGCAAGGAGGGAAAGGTGGTGCGATTCCCAGATAGATTAGATACCCTGTCCCGTGTGCAGCAGAAGAGAAGAGACCTTTTTTACCCCGGCTGATCCTTTTGAGCGGGGTCTCACCCAGGTGGCACGGCTGATGACTAGTGCAGCCAGCGGCCTAGCATTGCACGTTCGCAGGTTTGCTGATTTTGCCATCGCCTACATAGAAACAATATGGAAACAATGATTGGCATGTTGGCCAGGTAACTGGAGAGCTTGCCATTCTGGGCCTCCTGTCCTTTCGCACTGTGACCTTAACCGCCTGTCGACCAACAGACACGGTGCTCAGCTCTGAAATATGCATTCTTTTGTTGTTTCCAGTCTTCTCATGTTTTCTCTCCTTTTGGCTGATGTGTTAGCGTTTGTTCTGCTTCTTTCGAACCAAACCTCAGCATTTGCAATCTCTCCATGTCCACATCGCGTCGAAGACGCTGTCCCTCCTTCAGGTCGTGGTGACCTCGGCGGGTCTTCGGCCCATTCTGAAGTCCTCGGAAGCGGCCAGCCAGCACTTGCAGAAGCTCGCCCAGGAGAAGTTGTCGCAGATCGACCGAGGCTCGCGAAGAAAGTACTCAGATCGCGCAGTACTGTGATGCGAGCGTGGTGTATGGTTTCGGTGGGTTGCGTTGGGGGCGAGCAAGTGGGCTTTGTGGCTTGGTCGAAAGGGACTGGGATGCGCTTTCTACGGGTTGGGCATTGAAACACTCTTCCAACAAATCCCAATCAGAGCACCTGCAAGTCTCCTCATTACCGCTGATATGTTGACAACGATTGACGTTTCAATTGGGGTGCCAATTGAAAAGTCTGACCTGAAACAGATCGAGTCTAAATTCTAAATGGTTGATCAGAAACGCCGCAAAATTGCAAGCTCGTCGTTTTGGTTGTCAGATCCTCGGTGGAGCAATCTTGCTGTGTGAACCGAATTGAGCGATGTTTTGTATAGTATACACTATATATATACACACTGTTATACGAGCGACCTCATTTTGTGAAGATTGAAAAAGCTCACTAAAACACTCCGATCGGATCCATTGAGGGCATTGACCATCATTGAGATTTGTTGACTTCAGTGCCCAGTTAAGAGCTGAAGCATGCTGAAGCATGCTGAAGCAACGACCTTTGACCTCGACCGTCCTGAAATTCTGTTGAACGCTGAATCAGATCCACTTTGATGTTTGATCCCTGGAGCTCTCCTGTCTGTGCCACTCTCGAGGCTTTCCAATTCTTTCGCTGCCTCTTGGAGCATCAAATGATGTGCTGGTCCGTACCCTAGCCCTCCACTCGGCCCCTCGGAGCAAAGACACATCAACGTCAAGACAGACAAGTCAGTCGGGAGCATCCACCCTTTCGCTTCGTCTCTTCAGAGTCCACGAAAAGACGCTGTGCCCGACATGACGGCGTGTCTCCCCCGCCGTGGACCCAAGACTCGCTACATCCTGGCGCCCGGCGAGACCTGGCGGATCCCCACGAATGCGACGGCGAGCGGCCGTCATCATTGGGTCCAGTGCTTAGACCGCGCCAAGTCGCGAGGATCGTGGGTCAAGATGGGTCAAGATGGGTCAAGATGGAAGGATGGCAAGCTGGTGAATGTTTCATATCTTGAGCATGGCAGCAGGGATGTTTATGTTTGATTGTACGGACAGCGCGAAAGCATGTCCTTAAGCTTGACAGAACTTTGCGCAAACACCCCGGAGAGCCCAAAGCGGGCGCTCGCCTCGCTCGCGCGCCCGAGATCTTTGCCCGTGGACGTGCCGGGGTCATGGTGGGGCCTTCGGAGCATCCGATGAACCCCATCCAGTCGGTGGGCACTGGTGGGATGGCGATCCTGCCGGAATGGCTCTGCATGCAGTGCCGTGGACCGTTGTGGACGCCAGGTTGGGGGCAGGTTGGTGAGGTCAGAAGGGAAAAGCATGGAAAAGCGGAACACATCGGGAAGCCGAAACGAAAAAGGAAGGAGAATCACCTGAAAGAAGGAGCACGGATTGATATAGTTGGCCGATGAAGTTGAGGAAATTGGTTGACAGTGGCAAACTTTTTCTCAACCCTCTTGAAACTGGCCACAGACCCCTGGGACATAGACAGCTCTTCAGATCAAGCACCAGTGCACAGTGCACCAGCCATCTTTTGGGTCGGCATGCCGCTCATGGCGCCAGCAATAGCGCGCTTGACACTGCGCGCTTGGCATTCCGCATGCCCAGGTACGAGGCTCGAGCAGTGGCCTTGACTCCGGTGGAAGCTTTTCGGATCAATTGCATGGACATCCAAGTGGCCACCCTCTCCGCGCCTCGGCCGAAGAACGCCACGCCAGAAAACCGCCGAAGAACGAGCCCCGTTCGGAGCGAAGCTTGTTCCTAGTAGTAAGGCCAGGAGCCCCGAACGTAGCGCCTTTGCTCCTAGTAGCGATGCCAGGAGCCCCTAGTAGCTTCTTGTTCCTAGTATTATACGGTACCAATCATTGAAGTCACCGTTTTGAGAAAAACATGGTACAGTACAGTATCCTCGGTACTTGGTCCTCCATATAATAACGATCATTTACATTTCAGTTGACACTATATAAAATGGGGTGTTGACATTGACCCTCATCATATTAGCAGTGTCTTAAAGCTTCCTGGAAGCTTGAACAGCTTTGACGGAATTTGAGAAACGAGCTGGCTTGGCATGTCTTGTTGCTGGCCTTGTCTTGGCATGTCGTCTTGTGAACCCGGATGCCGCCACGCATTACGCTGTTCTCGAGGAGTGGGGGGTGCCGTGACGTGCACGTTTCGGCACTCGTGATACCCTTACCTTGCATTTTAAGGGTACCCGTGCTGTGGGAGCATGTGGAAGCATGGCCCAGAATTGGTAGAGAATGTAAGGTTTGCATAGCTTTGCACAGTTTGCCTTAAACATGCAACGTTCCTCGAAATTCCACGAAAGAATTATGAACCTTTTATCATGAAACGTTCCAAGTACCCAATACACCAACTGATGGTATGGGAATCATCCAAGTGAAGGTTGAATTCCGTTCCAAGTACACCTACTGACGGTTTGAGGAGCAACCTTTTCAAATTCCTCAAATCCTTTTATAGTTGCCTCAAACACACTACATAATTCTGCCCAAATTTTCTTAAAACTCATTCACATTCCCAAATCTCCACAAAAACCTGCACTGTAAATTGCCAGAAAAGAAGGGAACTTGAGAGGAACTAAAAACATAGAGCCCCATATAGGTAGTTTTTGTTCTAAACGTTTGATTGAAGAACCTATGACCTGGTGGCATAGGTATCAAAAATAAAATAAAAAGAGCATCACACAAAAAAGAGGATCAACAAAGCAAATAAAAAGCGAATCAAACAAAAATCCTTGATAGGCCTCTTCTGCTGCTCTCCTGGCCCTGTGGTCTGCGGGTCCTCTGGTAATAAGGTCCCTTGGTCCTCTGGTCCTCCGGTCTCCTGGTCCTCTGGTCCTGTGGTCCGCTAGTCCCCTGGTATCCTGGTCCTCCGCTCTCCTCATCCTGTGGTCCGCTGGTCCCCTGGTATCCTGGTCCTTCTGTCTCCTGGTCCGCTGGTCTCTTGCTCTCCTACTCCGCTCGTCTTTCGGTCTCCTGGTCCCCTGCTTGCGCAAATAGAGGCTTGATTGCTTTCTACTAGAGGCAGCTCCCTGGGAGGAAAGTAGGTACCCAATGATATGATGGTAGCCGTCCAGTGATTGATTAGCCCTACTCGAAAAATTGTTCACCAGTAGAAATAGCTCCCTACTAGGAAGGAGCTCCTAGGGAGGTACACTCTCCTAGTCCCCTACTCCTTCCATCCTCTTCCCTTGGTCTCCTAATCCTGCTACTGCTACTACTACTACTACTACCCCAACCATCCTCAGTGGGCTAGAATACCCTTTTTTGATTCCCTTTTTTATTTTATTGATCCCCGTTGAATATGTTTTTTTGATTCTATTTTTAAATATTGTTTGATCCCTTACCCTGACCTGGTGCCCAAACGAAGTTTTCAGAGTGGATCTTCACCTCTCAGCTTTAACCCTGTGTCCCTGTGTTTTTATACTTTATGTCATGTGTTTTATCATTGTTTTTTTACATGTTTCAACCATATACTGAAAACAAATCCGTAATATGGCTTTTCATTATACACAGCAACATGTTTGTGCTATTGGGGAGTAGTTCTATTTCTTTTAATAGAGGCTTCCCATGTCGATCCCGCAACTGATGTCTTACTACTACTGCTGCATTTGGCTTGGCATGCTATAGAAGCACCGTTTGAAGTCATCTACATATAGTTGGAGTTTTTATCTCTCGCCACCATTTCTCTATAAAATGCATGGCGAGTGACAGTGATCCCAATGGTAAAGCACGGAGGATGGTACGTTGTATTTTCCCAAAGATCCAGGTATTTCAATGACCATGTTTTCGATGACACCCACCCATCAACTTCAGATTCGTGCGACTTCTTGGGCTACAAATTCATGACGGGCTGACATGGCGTTCGTTACGAGGGGGAGACCGGGCAGGGCGCTCGGCGAGCGGCGACGCAACGGCTAGACCGTTTACGGTCCCCTTGGACTGAAGGAATCGAAAGAAAGGGCCCGACTGTTCAGACCGGCGTGCGTCCGTGCTTCGGGTGAAACCGGCGTGGAAACGGGTGAAGACCACGTCATTCGTGGTCTCAGCGCAGGTGAGATCGGCCATTCCAATGTGGTATCATCGCTTCCGCGGTCTCGAGAGCGAAGCCATTGAGCACTTCACAGCCAAGCTCTCCCGCGCAAAGGCGGTGGTCGACATGAACCGACCGAAGGTGGGCAGAGCTGAAGAAGTGCTGGGAGCAATTGGGGTGGAAGGCTTTGGGAATTGGCTGAGCTAGGTGTGCTGGATGTTTGGATTTGGACTCATTTGGCAGTAAGAGCGCACATGTTCGTCCGGTAGGGGCCAGGATTGAGCACAAAAGGCTACTAGCATAAACAGTTCAACACAGGTGCGACATGACAGACTGATTTGACACACGTTGTGTCTTTGTATTAGGGTACAGGGTGGTACAGGGTTTGTGTGCAGTACCACTCCTGATTCCGGCGGTAAGGCGCAACTCCTGAAGCCTTTGAAGAAGATCAGGAGCCTTTTTTGCCACTTGCGGATGCCGGTGGCGCACTTGTTCTAATGCTGAGTCAAGACATGGGTGGACTGTACGAGCACAGTAAGGCGATCAGATCGCCTCGACCGGCTCACCCGATCCATTTGTCCAAACGTTCGGCTTTGTTCAGCTGTGTTGTAGATCCGGTAATGGTGGTAGTAGTAGTAGTAGTAGTAGGAGTAGGAGTAGTAGTAGGAGTAGGAGTAGGAGTAGGAGTAGGAGTAGGAGTAGGAGCAGCAGCAGCAGCAGCAGCAGTTAGTAGTTAGCGGTTAGTAGTCTTAGTAGTCTTAGTAGTCTTAGTCTTAGTAGTAATTAGTAGCAGGAGGAGGAGCAGTGTAGTAGCAGTAGACAGGATTTGGAGTAGGAGTAGTGATTTCGATGATTTTCTTTTCGGCTTTCAGGTCAAAGCTCCAGGAATCAAACAAGCCTCACAGGATGTTAAGCACGGATGTGATGGGAGGCAATACAATAGAAAACTAAATCAATACACAAACCTGACTTAAAACCAAGAAGCAAACACCACCCTGAGCAAAGGTTTTTTTTGATATTCCGACCATCAGTTCCGAGCCTCATAAACTGTTCCGGAGGTGGGATTATTTTTTGGTATCTATTTGTGATTCCCTCCTGCTTGACTACTTGGGATTCGGGATTGAAGATACCATTCATTATAGTTTAATATGTGTTTATATAATTGATATTCGGGATAAAAGAGTAGCCTAAAGCCGTCAACACCCCTTTGTACTGTTGTGTGGTGCACAGCGGCTGTGGCGTGGGTCTCCAGGAGTGCGGGCAAATTGAAAGCTGCGGGCCGCTCGGCTCAGTGGCGTCCAACGCGTCCGAACGAGTCCGAGTCGGTGTCGGTGTAGGTGTTAAGTCAAAAAAGGTTGCCTCGGCTGAGTCTTGAGTTCGATGAGCTGACCTTTGGTTGCTGACCAACCTTTCGTCCCCCCCCTCTTCTCAAGTTTGGTGTGGGACGCTGCTGTGAACAGCTATGTATTGAGACATTTTGAGACCGAAACGAAGCAGTTCCGTCGCGCATGATGGCGAACGGTGCCATTTAGGCCCCTACAAAGTGCAGGTGGAGCAGGACGGGTTACTAAGCTCCTAAGCGGTGGATGTGGCGTCCAAACACGTGAACGTCGGACTCCCTTACGTTCGATCTTAGAACAGAAGGCTGTGGAGGCTGTCCACTATCATCCACTATCCATTTCCTAGCCATATTAGCCATGAGTCCCCTCTCGTGTTTGCCTCACTCGAGCACTGCACTGCTGTTGACCTGTTTTGCACCAGGAGCCAGACACCCCGGTTTTTTCAGCTTCGCTGCTGGGCGAGTCTGGTGAGGTGGTGAGGCTGTTGCAATGCCCAAACCCGCTGGGCTCCACTACCATGAAACTTCACATCCCGATTGGCTAAAGCATGGCTAAAGCATAGTAAAGCAAGGTTTCTGTGGGTTTCAGATTTGGGAATTGGTCTTCTTGGGCGGCCGAAAGAGTGAAAGCTGTGAAACCGCAGATGTGCGCGGTATGGGTCGGTTCTCGTCCTCTCAATGTCCGGTTGTACGGCCAGAGCAACGCCTCGTTTAGCACGCCAATGATTTGATCAAAGCCATCGGTTTGAGAACACACATCAGCTTGCTGGGGTTTGCGAAGACACTAAAAACAGTTTGGCATATTGGTGGATCTGGCAGTGGGTCCAAACCTGGAGCTCCGCCTGGTCCGTGGACCGACCATGGTTGGTCATCTCTTCATGTTGGGTGGGAAAAGCAGGATACCTCGTCTTCACCCCCCCCAGTGTGCGAAGATGTGGTTCATCTAGGGCACCATCACGAAAGCCAAACCTGGGGGTCGATCGGTGCAAAGGATCGGTGCAAACGATGGCTCCGTTCGGATCGAGTGCGCTGTGTTTCCCGCGGCTGTGAACTCAGGGCCGCAAGGCTTGCCACGTACCCAACTCGTGATGTGATGTTGCTCGGATGCGTTCATGCCGGGCCAGGGCCGTGAGTGGGTTGCGAACGTGAGGAAAAACTGATGGACGAGTGTTGCATTGGGAAGAAGAAACGATTCAAGCTCTGCCTGTCAGTTGATTCCCCACCTGCCAGGTGAGGGTTGTTAGATTCTATCACAGTTGTTCTTCCTCCTCCGCCTCCTCCTCCTCCTTCCTTCCTCCTTCCTCCTTGCTTCGCCGATCTTGTCTGGCCAGCTCCGGATCGCAGTGTGCACCCCTGGACCTCAACCGCAAGGATCCCCTCGCAGTGTGCACCCCTGGACCTCAACCGCAAGGATCCGATCGCAGTGTGCATCCCTGGACCTCAACCGCAAGGATCCGATCGCAGTGTGCACCCCTGGACCTCAACCGCAAGGATCCGATTGCAGTGTGCACCGCTGGACCTCAACCGCAAGAATCCGATCGCAGTGTGCACCGCTGGACCTCAACCAGATAGTTTGCCAGATAAAATGCCAGATAGAATGCCAGGTAGATTGCCAGATAGAATGCTGCAAGAAGATATGCCAGATAGTATGCCAAATAGTGTGTCAGATAGATTGCTGGATACATTGCCAGATAGAATGCCAGAAAATATGCCAGATAGAATGCCAGATAGAATGCCAGATAAAATGCCAGATAGAGTGCCAGAAGATATGCCAGATAGAACGACAGATAGTATGCCAGACAAAATGCCATATAGTATGCCAGACAGTATGCCAGATAGTATGTCAGATAGATTGCCAGATAGAATGGCAGATTGAATGGCAGATAGTATGCTTCAAACACAAGACTTGGCGATGCGCGCACTGTTTCTTGGAACTGAGAATGAAAGTCACATGTGTCAGGTCTTCATACCTTTGTCAGCCACCCCACTGCTCCGTGGAATAAGTAGGAAAGTTTGGGCCTGTCTGGTTGCCTCCATTTGCTCAGGGTCCACACAACCACAAACACAACCACAAGCACACAACCACAAACACAACCACAAACACGCAACCACAACCACAAACACAAACACAACAACAAACACAACCACAAACATAACAACAAACACACACCCACAAAGACACAACAATCGACACACAACCACAGACACACAACCACAAACACTCGACCACAAACACACAACCACAACAACAAAACCACAAACATAACAACAAACGCACACCCACAATCACACAACAATAGACACACAACCACAAACACAACCACAAACACACAA